TAGCACAAAAAATCTTAAAACCCTAGTTAGTTAGTACGTAGAGGCGTTCAATGAAGAACCGTGACCCAACATGCATGCCCTTGTGCGCAGCTCTCTCGAGGCCTGCTGTCGCTGCCGCTTGAAGCTTCCGATCTGACCACCATCCTGAGAGTGCCGAAAGGTACTCATGTCGTTGCCTGCTTGGCGGGTCTGCAGCCCTGCCGGGCTTTCCTTAGCAGGGCACGGTGCTGCTGGAGGTGTCGCTGCTGGTGCTGCTGCTTGCACGACCTCAGACTAACGGAGATGGCAGAACTTTGGCCGAAGGCTAAGGTCCCGGCTCGAAGAACTGTCGCTGTCGCTTTCGGGACGGGGCCTGTTCTCTACGCTTGATCATGTAAAAACCATGGCTGTCAACTTGCTGAATAAGCCGAGGAACAGCAGGTACTTTAGGCGCCAAGCTCTTTTCTTGCGCTTTTTGCGATTTTGCTTTTCCTTTGTTCAGGACTTGCTCGGGATCGAAGACACAGCTGAAACCAGAGTTCATAGTATCTCATAGACTAAGCTGTGCGCTATGGACAGACTGATCCTGTCGTACTGCAGTGAAAGCGGACAGGACAACACGTGCGTCTCACCTGCGTAACCTCTACACCGTCTACACACAGGGCTGTGCGAAGCAAATGAGCTGCATGAAAGACTCCATGAATCAATGAATGCATGTGCTGGCACACCGCAAGAAGTGAATTTGATTCCTGGCCTTGCAAATGCCACCGGTAATGCGTAAAGCTGCTTAAAATTTGGCTGCTATGTAGTCTGAAAAGGAGCATGTAGCCGAACCCATGCACTTCTTGGCAGGATCCTGAAATCACCAACGCTGGCCGCGCTGTGGCACGCCGGCTGGGCCGATGCTGTCATTAGTGTGTTCGGTTTGTTGTGCAAGAAAGAAGAATGGATCTTGCTCCATGCTTCTGAAGGCAACACTCGGAAATCTCCCTCGCGTAACACACGCTGGGGAGCCACAGGACAATCCCCAGGTTCAGTGTCCTTGCACGAAGTTGTCATAGGCTCTTGCCCGCCTCTGCGCAAGCCGTCGGACGAGATTTCCGTGACGGTGTCCGATTCCTGCAACCACACAGGTGCGGAACAGATGCGCTTGAGCACTGCGGAAAAGCTAGTCCTATACATCTCGGCCTCAATCCTTGCCCCACCTCGACCTCCATGCAGGTTGTGGCTTCCCCCGAGCACCAGTGAGCGAAACACGCAACAGCCCAGATGTGGCTAGGCCACGACACGCCGAAGTTCAGATTGTACATGTTACGGCACGATGAGTCAGTGCAAGCCGCACATCGACAGACTTGCTACAAGAACATTGATACCTGGTTTGCGCGGCTCTGGCCTGGAAAGCAATCTGGAGAGCCATTGTCTGTGTGCTATCCGTTTCAACAGCGTTTACTCCCGCTAGATAAGCATGTCAAACCTGGTGTCCTTGATGTCTGAAGTGTGAAGACCGGACTGTGGAAGCTTTGCGCATGCAACCTGGCAACTGGACATGCACACTAAGAGCACGAACAATGCAGCCATGCTTGAGAACTGCCTAGATTTAGGCTTGCCCCGATGGAAAACTGGGGCCTCTGCTGCTGCCTGCGCGATGAGCTGCATGCCCGACATGCCCACCGAAGGATCAGAGTCATGCGTCGCAAGTGCTTTCTGCGCCTTGTCATTGTCTGATGTAGTGGGCGCAAACACTTTACCATTCCGCGTCTCTGGGCGCAGGTGCGGAATGTGAATCACCGGACAATGATTGGGGGTGGAATGGCCGCAGTTGTCACTTCTACATCCATATCGATTTCTGGGTGCAAACCAACAGATCAGCTTTCCCTTCGTATCCGGTCGAGCAGTCTGAAGACAAAGCTCCGCCCTTTGTTCAAAACCATCTGCCTCCGGGATATCATTGTGCTCCAATCGCAGCCATAGTGGCAAAGGCCAGTTTTTGCTACCCGGTCGTGCAGAGGGGTAACTCTTGGTCTCTGCTACCGCTTTGATCAGCTCTAGGGCTCCGGCTGTCTTGATCTGATTATGAGAAAGGTGAAGCTCGAAAAGGGCCCAAGGTGCGGATCGGATCCACTGCGACAGAAGTATGGCGCTGCGGCAGCCAAGTCTATTCTGATA